CCCGGGTTCTTTTTGTTGTTGTTTTTTTCTTTTTTTTGTTCTTCATTCACTTGGCAAAGCTTTCTCCATCCCTATATTTTGAGCCTTTGTGTGTCTTTTGCACGTGAGATGGGTCTTCTGAATACAGCACACTGATGGGTCTTAACTTTTCATACAATTTGACAGTCTGTATATTTGATTAGGGCATTTTTTCCATTTACATTTAAGGTTAATAATGTGATGTGTGAATTTGATCCTGCCATTTTGATGCTAGCTGGTTGTTTTGCCCATTATTTGATGCAATATCTTTATAGCATCTATAGTCTTTACAGTTTGGTATGTTTTTGCAGTGACTGGTACTGGTTGTTCCTTTCCATGTTTAGTGCTTCCTTCAGGTACTCTTTTTTTTTGAGATGGAGTTTCGCTCTTGTTACCCAGGCTGGAGTGCAATGGCGCGATCTCGGCTCACCGTAACCTCCGCCTCCTGGGTTCAGGAACTTCTCCTGCCTCAGCCTCCTGAGTAGCTGGGATTACAGGCGCGAGCCACCATGCCCAGCTAATTTTTTGTATTTTTAGTAGAGATGTGGTTTCACCATGTTGGCCAGGATGGTCTCGATCTCTGGACCTCGTGATCCACCCGCCTCGGCCTCCCAAAGTGCTGGGATTACAGGCTTGAGCCACCACGCCCGGCCCTTCCTTCAGGTACTCTTATAGGGCAGGCCTGGTGGTAACAAAGTCTTTTAGCAGTTGCTCGTCCATAAAATATTTTATTTATTCTTCACTTATGAATCTTAGTTTGGCTGGATAATAAAATTCTGGTTTGAACATTCTTTTTTTAAGGATTTTGGGGCCGGGCACAGTGGCTCACACCTGTAATCCCAGCACTTTGGGAGGCCGAGGCGGGTGGATCACAAGGTCAAGAGATCGAGACCATCCTGGTCAACGTGGTGAAACCCCGTCTCTACTAAAAATACAAAAAATTAGCTGGGCATGGTGGCACGCACCTGTAATCCCAGCTACTCAGGAGGTTGAGGCAGGAGAATTGCCTGAACCCAGGAAGCGGAGGTTGTGGTGAGCCGAGATCGCGCCATTGCACTCCAGCTTGGGTAACAAGAGCGAAACTCCGTCTCAAAAAAAAAAAAAATGGACTTTTAAGATTGGCCTCCACTCTCTTCTGGCTTGTAGAGTTTCTGCCGAGAGATCCACTGTGAGTCTGATGGGCTTCCCTTGTGGGTAACCTGACCTTTCTCTCTGGTTTCCCTTAGCATTTTTTCCTTCATTTCAACCCTGGTGAATCTGATGATTATGTGCCTTGGGATTGCTCTTCTTGAGGAATATCTTTGTGGTGTTTTCTGTATTTCCTGTGTTTGAAAGTTGGCCTGCCTTGCTGGGTTGGAGAAGTTCTCCTGGATAATATCTGAAGAGTGTTTTCCAACTTGGTTTCTTTCTTGCAATCACTTTCAGGTACACTGATCAAATATAGATTTGGTCTTTTCACATAATCCCATGTTTCCTGGGGCTTTGTTCATTTCTTTTCACTCTTTTCTCTGATCTTGCCTTCTCACTTTATTTCATTGAATTGATCTTTAATCTCTGATATCCTGTCTTCCGCTTGATTGATTCGGCTATTGAAACTTGTGTATGCTTCACAAAGTTCTCATGCTCTGCTTTTCAGCTCCATCTTGTCACTTATGTTCTTCTCCATGCTGGCTATTCTCATTAGCATTTCGTCTAACCTTTTTTCAAGGTTCTTAGTTTCTTTGCATTGGGTTAGAACATCCTCCTTTAGCTCGGAGAAGTTTGTTATTACTTACCTTCTGAAGTCTGCTTCTGAAATCTGCTTCTGTGAATTCGTCACACTCATTCTCCATCCTGGTTTGTTCTCTTGCTGTTGAGGGGTTGTGATCCCTTGGAGGAGAAGAGGCATTCTGGCTTTTGGTGATTTCAGCCTTTTTACACTGGTTTATTCCCATCTTCATGGATTTATCTACTTTTAGTCTTTGAAGGTGGTGACTTTTGGATGGGATTTCTGATTGGATTTCCTATCTGTTGATGTTGAAGCTGTTTCTTTCTGTTTGTTAGTTTTCCTTTCAACATTCAGGCCCCTCTGCTGCAGGTCTGCTGAAGTTTCCTAGAGGTCTAGTCCAGACCCTGCTTGCCTGGGAATCATCTGCAGGGGCTGCAGAACAGCAAAGGTTGCTGTCTGTTCCTCCTTCTACTAGCTTCATCCCAAAAGGGTACCTGCCAGATGTTAGCCAGAGCTCTCTTGTATGACGTCTCTGTCAGTTTGGTTACATGGGAGTCAGGAAGCCATTTGAGGAGGCAGCCTGTCCTTTAATGGAGCTCAAGCACTGCTGGGGGATCCATTGCTCCCTTCAGGGTTGCCAGGCAGGGATGTTTAAGTCTGCTGGTGCGGAACCCACAACTGCCCCTTTTCCCAGGTGTTCTGTCCCACGAAGGTGGGGGCTTTGTAAGTCCCTAACAGGGTGCTGTCTTTTTTTTTTCTGAGATGCTTTGCCCAACAAGAAGGGAATCTACTTGACAATCTGCCTGCAGAGGCCTTGCTGAGTTGCCATGCTGGGCTCTGCCCAGCTGCCTTGTAAACTTCCTGGTGGCATTGTTTACACAGGCAATGTTGAAATCGCCCAACAGAGCCTCAGCAGTGGCGGGCGGTGCTCTTCCCACCAAACTCAAACATCCCAGGTTAAGCTTGGACCTGCTGTGCTAGCTGTGAAAATTTCTAGCCAGTGGATCTTAGATTGCCGATCTTCATGGGGGTGGGACCTGCCTAGCCAGCTCGCTTGGCCCCCTGGTTTCAGCCCCCTTTTTCAGGGGGAATGAGCTTTTCTGTCTTGCTGGCATTCCAGGTGCCACTCAAATAAAACAGCCATCCAGTTTTGTGCTGGAATCCCAAAGTGCTGGTGTTGTAGGCAGCGGAGGTAATCTCCTAGTCTGCGGGTTGTGTAGAACATGGGAAAAGTACAGCATCTGAGCTGGAGTGTTGGAGTGTCTGGAAAAGTTCCTTATGGCTTCCCTGGGCTAGGGGAGAGAGTTCTCTGGCCCCTTGCACCTCCTGGGTGAGGCTATGCCCCACCCTGCTTTGGCTTGTGCACATTGGGCTTTTCCCACTGTCTAACCAGTCCCAATGAGATGAACCTGGTACCTCAGCTGGAAATGTGGGGATCACTTGTCTTCTGGTGTGCTCTCACTGGAAACTGCAGACCAGAACTGTTCCTATTTGGCCATCTTTGTGGAAATCCTTTTTTTTTTAAATTTTAGAATCTTTCAGTTATTTCTTTTTGTATTTTTTATCAACACTATTTATTTATTTATTTATTATTGCATTTTAGGTTTTGGGGTACATGTGAAGAACATGCAAGATTGTTGCATAGGTACACACATGGCAGTGTGATTTGCTGCCTTCTTCCCCATCACCTGTATCTGGCATTTCTCCCCATGCTATCTCTCACAACTCCCCACCCCCCACTGTCCCTCCCCTATTTCACCCCAACAGATCCCAGCGTGTGATGCTCATCTCCCTGTGTCCATGTGTTCTCATTGTTCAACATCCACCTATGAGTGAGAACATGCGGTGTTTGATTTTCTGTTCTTGCATCAGTTTGCTGAGAATGATGGTTTTCAGGTTCATCCATGTCCCTACAAAGGACATGAACTCATCATTTTTTATGGCTGCATAGTATTCCATGGTGTATATGTGCCACATTTTCCCTGTCCAGTCTATCATTGATGGGCATTTGGGTTGGTTCCAGGTCTTTGCTATCACCACAATTTAAATATTTTTCTTATTACCCTCATTTTTCTGATTTTCTATATTCTGTGTTCCTATTTTCACTCATTGAATATTATTCAATTTTAAAAATTAATGTATACATTTATAATGGTTTCTTTCTAAAACTTTTTTTTTTTTTTTTTTGAGACGGAGTTTCACTCTTGTTACCCAGGCTGGAGTGCAATGGCGCGATCTCGGCTCACCGCAACCTCCGCCTCCTGGGTTCAAGCAATTCTCCTGCCTCAGCCTCTTGTGTAGCTGGGATTACAGGCACGCGCCACCATGCCCAGCTGATTTTTTGTATTTTTAGTAGAGACGAGGTTTCACCATGTTGACCAGGATGGTCTCGATCTCTCGACCTCGTGATCCACCCGCCTCGGCCTCCCAAAGTGCTGGGATTATAGACTTGAGCCACCGCGCCCGGCTTCTTTCTGAAACTTTTATACTACTTTTGATGGAATTATATTACCCAATTTTTTACATATTGTAATTTTTGAGATTTGGACATTTAAAAAAGCTACCTGTCTCAAAATTTATAATGTAGCTTTGTCCCGGCATAGTCAGAAAACAGTGGTTTTGTCTAGAGATTATGGAGATCTGTCAAACATCTTCAGCTTTGTCTTGTCTGAAATTTTGTGTTTACTTTTAGCTAAAGGAGATTGTTTCTTTTGAAAAGTAATCACTTGCTACACCTGTTCTTTCTCTGTAGCATTGCAGTGCTCGGCTGCAGTGAATTCACCTTTAGCCTCAGAAGACTCATACTGTCATTTCAAAGTATAGCACCATTTCTTTTACCATTTTATATAATTGGAGACAGAAATCAGTTTGTTGAAAGCCCCATAGGAGCCAGAAATTAAATTTTATGTGTTAATACTTTACTTGTCTTTAAAAAAAAAAAAATTGGCAATTTACTTCTGAAGGAAATGTGTAATATTGAGGAACAGAAAGAGTTGTATTGGGTAAATTTAACAAACTTTTTTTTCTATGTGGCTCTTTGCATTGGGCTTAATTCAGGCATTGCACACATTTAACTCATGTATAAATTATCCACTTATGTATTTTCATCTGTATGTTTTTACTATGTTTATATGTCTATGAAGAATTAGAGCCTATGGTATATTGCAATGTCATGTTGTTTATGTAGTTTGAATAATGTTATAGGTTAGATTTGTAAACTGTATTTATCTGAGTCTAATAAGTGGAATAATTTGTTACTTTTATTTATTTTCAGTTATGTGTTCTCATTTTTCTCAAGACCTTTTGGAAGAGGAGGGCATAGAAGATTGTTGCCAAAAAGTGGTTTTGAGAAGATACGAAAAATGTGGACATGATAATTTACAGTTAAAAATTGATTGTACCAATATGGATGAGTATAGGGTGCACAAAGAAGGTTGTAATAAACTTAACCAGAGTTTGACAACTACACAAAGCAAAATATTTCAGGGTGATAAATATGCAAAAGTCTTTCATAAGTGTTCAAATTCAAACAGGCATAAGATAAGGCATGCTAAAAATAAACTTTTGAAATGTAAAGAATATGTCAGATCATTTTGCATGCTTTCACACCTATCTCAACGTAAAGGAATTTATACTAGAGAGAATTTCTTCAAATGTGAAGAATGTGGCAAAACCTTTAACTGGTTCTCAACCCTTATTTATCATAAAAGAATTCATACTGGAGAGAGGCCCTACAAATGTGAAGAATGTGGCAAATCCTTTATCTGCTCCTCAAGCCTTACTAAGCATAAGATAATTCATACTGGAGAGAAACCCTACAAATGTGAAGCATGTGGCAAAGCTTTTAAACAATCCTCAACTCTTATTACACATAAGAAAATTCATGCTGGAGAGAAAACCTACAAATGTGAACAATGTGGCAAAGCTTTTAAACAACCCTCAACTCTTATTATACATAAGAAAATTCATGGTGGAGAGAAACACTACAAATGTGAAGAATGTGGCAAAGCCTTTACATGGCCTTCAAGCCTTTATAACCATAAGAAAATTCATACTGGAGAGAAGCCCTACAAATGTGAAGAATGTGGCAAAGCCTTTAACAGGTTCTCAACGCTTACTGCACACAAGGCAGTTCATACTGGAGAGAAACACCACAAATGTGAAGAATGTGACAAAGCCTTTAGGTGGTCTTCAAGCCTTACTAAGCATAAGATAATTCATACTGGAGAGAAGCCCTACAAATATGAAGAACGTGTCAAAGCCTTTAACAAGTTCTCAACCCTTACTATACACAAGGCAGTTCTTACTGGAAAGAAACACTACAAATGCGAAGAATGTGGCAAAGCTTTTAGCTGGCCCTCAAGCCTTACTAAGCATAAGATAATTCATACTGGAGAGAAACCCTACAAATGTGAAGAATGTGGCAAAGCTTTTAGACAATCCTCTACTCTTACTACACATAAGAAAATTCATGCTGGAGAGAAACACTACAAATGTGAAGAATGTGGCAAAGCCTTTACATGGTCTTCAAACCTTACTAAACATAAGACAATTCATACTGGAGAGAAACCCTACAAATGTGAAGAATGTGGCAAAGCTTTTAGACAATCCTCAACTCTTACTACACATAAGAAAATTCATGCTGGAGAGAAACCGTACAAATGTGAAGAATGTGGCAAAGCCTTTAACAAGCTTTCCACCCTTAATATGCACAGGGCAATTCATACTGGAGAGAAACCCTACAAATGTGAAGAATGTGGCAAACCCTTCATCCGGTTATCAAACCTTATAGAACATAAGAGAATTCATACCAGAAATAAGTCCTGCAAATGTGAAGAATGTGGCAAAGCTTTTAGCCAGTCCTCAAGCCTTACTAAGCATAAGATGATTCATACTGGAGAAAAACCCTACAAATGTGGAGAATGTGGCAAAACTTTTAGACAATCTTCAACTCTTAATACACATAAGAAAATTCATGCTGAAGAGAAGAACTACAAATGTAAAGAATGTGGCAAAGCCTTTAGATGGTCTTCAAGCCTTACTAAGCATAAGATAATTCATACTGGAGAGAAACCCTACAAATGTGAAGAATGTGGCAAAGCCTTTAACAAGTTCTCAACCCTTACTACGCACAAGGCAATTCATACTGGAGAGAAACACTACAAATGTGAAGAATGTGGCAAAACCTTTAGGTGGTATTCAAGCCTTAGCAAGCATAAAAGAATTCATACTTGAGAGAAGCCCTACAAATGTGAAGAATGTGGCAAAGCCTTTAACAAGTTCTCAACCCTTACTATACACAAGGCAATTCATACTGGAGAGAAACACTACAAATGTGAAGAACGTGACAGCCTTCACCTTGGCCTCAAGCCTTACTGAACATAGAGATTTAATACTGGAGGAGAAACCCTACCATTGTGAAGAATGTGGTAGAGACTTCAACCGGTCCTAACACCTTACTAATCATAAGAGAATTCATCCTGGAAGGAAAACCCCTATAAATGTCAAAAATGTGGCGAAGCTTTTAACTAGTTCTTAACACTTACTGAACATAAGGAGTTTATACAGGAGGGAAACCTTACAAATGTGAAGAATGTGACAAGCCTTTTAATTGTTCCTCAATCCTTACTAAACATAGATAATTAATACTGGAGGGAATCCATTCCGGTGTGTGGAATGTGGCAAAGCCTTTAACCAGTCTGTAAGGATTACTACATATAACCCTATGTGTGTGAAGAATGTGGAAAAGCCTCTAACAGAGCCTCAATTCCTAACAGACATAAGCTAATTTATACTATAGAGAAACTCTACAAACCTAAACATGTCACAGTGCTTTTGGAAACACCTCAAACTTCTGAATATAAAAGAAATTGTATGGATGAGAAATGTGAATAATGTGACAAAGTCTTTAAATGGCTGTCACACTTGATTGTAGGTAAGATATACTGGAGAAAACTACTAATGTGAATAATGTGGCAAAACATTTAACCAATGCTCACACCTATTGCACAGGAAAGCATTTCTATTTGAGAACAAGTGTACAAACATAAAGAAAGTGTAGGCTAGGTACAGTGCCTCACTCCTGTAATCGCAGCACTTTGGGAGCCCAAGACAGATGGATCATTTGAGGTCAAGAGTTCAAAACCAGTCTGGCCAACATGCTGAAATTTCATCTATACAAAAAATTCAAAAAAAATTAGCCAAGCATTGTGAGAGACACCTGTAATTCCAGTTACTCAGGAGGTTGAGGCAGGAGAATCACTTGAACCTGGGAGGAAAAGATTGCAGTGAGCCAAGATCATGCCACTGTATTCCAGCTTGGGCAACAGGAAGATTATTTAATAAAAAAAAAAAAAAGGAAATTGTGAAAGCCATTAATACCTTCTCACATCTTATTCAACATCAGAGAATTAATACTCAATAAAAGCATTAAATGTGCAGTTGCTGTCAGTAGATCTTTCAGAAAATACAAGCCCTAAAAGTGCAAAAGAATATTTATTTTGAAAGCAAATAGATAAAGAGGATTATAGTACCTTTACTTGTATCACAGATTTTATTGTACACATTTTGTACTAGAGGAAAACCCTGAAGCAGTTGTTCCAACTTTGCTCAATATCAGGGAATTTATATTGAAGAATAACCTTGCAAATGTAATAAATTTGGAAAAACATTTTTTCAAAAACTACATATTATAAAAACCCAGAGTTTATACTAAAATACATTTTTGGAGATACTGTATTTTTAAAAATCCGGCCGGGCGCGGTGGCTCACGCCTATAATCCCAGAACTTTGGGAGGCCGAGGTGGGTGGATCACGATCGAGACCATCCTGGTCAACAAGGCGAAACCCTGGCTCTACTAAAAATACAAAAATTAGCTGGGCATGGTGGCACGTGCCTGTAGTCCTAGCTACTTGGGGGGCTGAGGTAGGAGAATTGCTTGAACTCAGGAGGCAGAGGTTGCAGTGAGCTGAGATCATGCCATTGCACTCCAGCCTGGGTAACGAGCGAAATTCCATCCCCCCCCCCCCAAAAAAAGAAATAATTAATCCAAAACAAGTTTATATAAATATCAGAATTTCACAGTAGAAATATCTGTCTCTTGAAATTCAGACATTACACTAAATCTGACTGCTGAGTATGGGAAAAAAATCCAAAACTAAATTTGGTGAAAAAAATTATTTGTATATAACTTTAAAAGAAGTAGATCTTTGAGCCGGGCGTGGTGGCTCACACCTGTAATCCCAGGCCATTGCACTCCAGCCTGGGTAACAAGAGTGAAACTCTGTCTCAAAAAAAAAAAAAAAAGAAAAAAGAAAAACAAAATAAGCATTAGCAATGTTTTAAGGAAAAGTTAAAAACATTGGTTTAGTTTCCTGTTAGCTTAATTAATTTCATTAACTTTGTTCTGCTTGATACTCATAAACATTTTAGCTTTTTATGAGTTCTGTACTGTTACCTGTTATCAGAAACCTGCATTTGAGAGCACCTATTAAAGTCCCACAGCTGATTATAAACCATTTTTAAGAGGATTAAAACAAGACAATCGTCTGCCAATGACAAAATGTCCAGAGTTACAGTTAGAAACATGATTGACAAAAAAATTTGGTTATCTTTTTAGTTTACAATAATGCAATATAACAACCTTAATTGTGATTCAGTCATCCCATATGGTTTTGAAACATGTTAATATTACATACTCAAATATAACCCCCCAAAAATTAGACATATTTTTTACAATCCCATGTACCTAAACGTTAAATAATTCTATTTGCCTTTCTTTAGATGCTTCAGTGGTTCTTTGTAGCCCCAAAAAGCCAGGCATCAGGAAAGACTACCTTGAGACTTAAGTTTGATTTTGGGAAGCTTCTTAAATATGTTCAAAATCTAAAACACTTAATGTTATACAATAGAATTTTAAATTACCATAAACTATTTGTTTTGCCAACATGAAGAATTAAAAATTTGCAAAAGCAAAAACATTTTATTAACCCTATTATATAAAAATCCTGTTTAAAAAAGAAAGCCAAATTTTACTCTTGCATTAGCTTACTACTAATGTTAACCCCAAATTCAATAAAACCTTATAGACAATTCTATTTAATCTTAACCAGTTTTACCATGAAGTGAGATTTTTACAAATCTCTTATAATCTTTTACAAATTTTGCTAAAGAGATTAGCATCTTTTAAAAACCTTGTGCTTTTAAAATTTTAAGTTAAATAAAAAACATGATATTTATTTGAATTTAAATATGTTTACACAGTTTTCTTTCGCAAAATTCATTTTTACAGTACTTTTAAAATTTGCTTGAAACTTCCACTTTATTTTTTATTTATTTATTTTTTTTGGAGACGGAGTTTCGCTCTTGTTACCCAGGCTGGAGTGCAATGGCGCGATCTCGGCTTACCACAACCTCCGCCTCCTGGGTTCAAGCAATTCTCCTGCCTCAGCCTCCTGAGCAGCTGGGATCACAGGCAAACACCACCATGCCCAGCTAATTTTTTCTATTTTTAGTAGAGACGGGGTTTCACCATGTTGACCAGGATGGTCTCGATCTCTCGACATCGTGATCTACCCGCCTCGGCCTCCCAAAGTGCTGGGATTACAGGCTTGAGCCACCGCGCCCGGCCAACTTCCACTTTATTTAAGACAATCTTTTATTCCTAGCAAAAATGTGCATTTTATGCCTTATAATTTTTTATTTAAAAATTTTACTTTACAAAGTTCTTACTTTGCATTCAAATCCATTTTTATTAGTCTTGATTACATGTTATAATGATAACTTTTTGTAATTTAACTTTAATATAAAACCTGATACTTTTTTTTTCTTTTTAATTGCACTTTAGGTTCTGAGGTACATGTGAAGAACATGCAGGATTGTTTCATGGGTACATACATGGCAATGCAGTTTGCCACCTCCATCCCCATCACCTTTATCTGGCATTTCTCCCCATGTTATCCCTCCCCAACTCCCTTACCCCCACTGTCCCTCCCCTATTCCCCCCAACAGACATCAGTGTATGATGCTCCCCTCCCTGTGTCCATGTGTTCTCATTGCTCGACACCCTCCTATGAGTGAGAACATGTGGTGGTTGGTTTTCTGTTCTTGTGTCAGTTTGCTGAGAATGATGGTGTCCAGGTTCATCCATGTTCCTACAAAGGACACGAACTCATCGTTTTTTAAGGCTGCATAGTATTCCATGGTGTATATGTGCCACATTTTCACTGTCCAGCCTACCATCGATGGGCATTTGGGTTGGTTCCAAGTCTTTGCTATTGTAAACAGTGCTGCAATGAACATACATGTGCTTACATCTTTATAATAGAGTGATTTATAATCCTTTGGATATATACTCAGTAATGGGATTGTTGGGTCAAATGGAATTTCTGTTTCTAGATCCTTAAGGAATCATCACTCTTCCACAATGGTTGAACTAATTTACACTCCCACCAACAGTGTAAAAGTGTTCCTGTTTCTCCACATCCTCTCCAGCATCTGCTGTCTCCTGATTTTTTAATGATTGCCATTCTAACTGGTGTGAGATGGTATATCTCAATGTAGTTTTGATTTGCCTTTCTCTAATGACCAGTGATGATTAGCATTTTTCCTATGTTTGTTGACCTCATATATGTCTTCTTTTGAAAAGTGTCTCTTTATATCCTTCGCCCACTTTTGAATGGATTTTTTTTTTTTTTCTTCTAAGTCTGTTTCAGCTCTTTGTAGATTCTGGATATAAGTCCTCTGTCACATGGGTAGATTGCGAAAATTTTTTCCCATTCTGTTGGTTGCTGGTTCACTCTAATAATTGTTTCTTTTGCTCTGCAGAAGCTCTGGAGTTTAATTAAATCCCATTTGTCTATTTTGGCTTTTGTTGCCAATGCTTTTGGTGTTTTAGTCATGAAGTCCTTGACTATGCCCATGTCCTGAATGATTTTGCCTAAGTTTTCTTCTAGGGTTTTTATGGTGTTAGGTCTTATGTTTAAGTGTTTAATCCATCTGGAGTTAATTTTAGTGTAAGGTGTCAAGGAAGGGGTCCCAGTTTCTGCTTTCTGCACATGGCTAGCCAGTTTTCCCAACACCATTTATTAAACAGGGAATCCTTTCCCCATTGCTTGTTTTTGTCAGTTTGTCAAAGATCAGATCGTTATAGATCTGTAACTTTGCCTCCGAGGCCTCTGTTCTGTTCCATTGGTCTCTATGTCTGTTTTTCTACCAGTACCATGCTGTTTTGATT